TAACTCAGTAGTTTTGAAAATGAATCTGCAAATAAAAAGTACGATTCACCTTACTAAAATTAGAAATGTTGTTGGCTTAAAAAATTGCTATATCGAAGAATGATAATCAGGAGTGGCGTAAATATCCCACTCTCTCTCACAGTTAGAGCTATAATTTATCAGGAAGATGTAATACGTTCTCCAATTCCTGCAATTTTAATCGCTTACTGGTCCGTCATTTTGCTTCGCATTTTTCTTGTCAAAGAGTGAGAGAAGAGAAATTCCGAGGTAGAGATGGGCTCAATGTTAAAGGTAACAACGAAATTGGGCAAATATGCAACACAGAAAGAGCTCATTTTTGCCATAAAATTATTGCTTATCTTGCAAACTAAGTCAACAATTCAGTAATGGATCGTATCACACGAGTAGGTGTCAACTGTCATTTGCGAGTATTCAGCCTTACTCCCATTGCGATGTTTATTATTTTAAATACTGAGCATTATATTAACATAGAGAATGATAAAGAGCACAGATAACGAATAACCAGGAGATCAGTGGACTCTTGATAATTTAGCAACCTGCGTAGTCGAGATGGCGAGTAATGCACAGCAATTTCTTTTAGGCATTCTTTTCAGCGAGCCTTCTGCTCCTCGACAGGAAAACTCGTCCCTCTCCGTCCAATTCCTTTAGATCTTTCTCCAAAATAACGACTCCCGTCTTTTTACGTTAATAAAAGATATTCCTGCTTGCTTATTATTGAGATCAAGCAACTTGTAGACTTCGACATACCTGCTTCTCTGCCTATAATCTACTGATTGAAACTTCAGGATTCCTATTCTCCACGAATCAGAACGGAGATAATCACCAGTCACCAAATCGAGCATTTGGAAGGACGCATTACACGAGTCCCACCCCACCAGTGCCGTAACAAACAAAAATATGTCACGGATATTACCGTGAATGCCACCGTTGCATTTTCGAATATTAAATTGAGGCCGGAAAAAACAAATAAAACTAGCAATTAGCATGTGATCGAAGAGGTCATAACACAGCTTCCCGTATTACTTTTGCTTCCAGGGGTTTTAAGAAACGGCGCAGAACACCATTCTTAAGGCGCTAAAGTGATCGACTGACAATCTTTTAGTAAACATTTTGGAAGAAGAGAAAGTAAAGATTAAGTAAAAATAGTACAAAAGGAGACAAATGTTCACGTATATCACTTGCATTTCCTAGTAACACATGATAAAAGGACAGCGAGTGCACTTTGACTCTGAAGACTAAGTATGACTATTACTAAAAGCATTTTTTTTAAAATTTTACTGATTTTGCACACTTAAAAAGCCGAATAAAGGGGGATTCTTTTGTATTTATGCAAGTGCTTGCTGCATGTCATTGCGCGCAATGTGCAAGAAGGATACAATGTTTGAATATCGACTTTCAATGAATGACTTTCACTGATGATTTTGATTGTAAAAATAAGCATGTGTCAAAGGTACCCGATGCTTCTACTCCAACAGGCATATACTTTTCGCTTGGAAAAGGAGAAAGAAATTAATAGTTTCAGGCTTGATTACAGAACGGCTTTCCACAAGAGAAAGAGTACTGATCCGCCAGTGTCAGGAAACAATATGCTGTCCTCGGTATATCGTCTAGTACTATTAGTTGTACTAGCAAATCTGTCGGGAGTGCAGGATGGAGGACTGCGTGCATCGGTCATTTACCCGGCTTTCATTCCGGAATGAATCACTCGAAGCATAAGTTGCAATGATAGATGGGTCTAGTCGAGATTTCTTCTCTTTCTTTCCTTCCCTTCTCCACTTAATATATTTCTTTATCACCCACATCGCAAACAGTGCCACGTTTTTCCGGCTCAGCAATTTGTTTTTTCAATTCCTCCACCGCTTTTTTCTCCATCTTCTTGATATCCTCCATCGTCATATCGTACCATCGGTCGGTCCAGCAGTATAGCTCCCTGTAAGAAGTGAACATGCTATCCAGCTTCGTCTATCAACAGGTTAATAATGTTGTCCATGTTTAACCTGATATCCTTTTCATCTTTTTTTCCACCCAGTCGTCCTGATATGAATCTACTTCCTACTTAACTTTGCAGATGACGCTAAGCCTTTGAAATCTGATCCAGTTACACAATTTCAGAACCCTCCTCGATGGACTGGGTCAACGATAAGAACGTAAGGATATAACTGAAAAAAGATGCTGGGAAAGTGGTAACACATCAGTAAATAAGTGGTGATACTGGGCCTTAGCGCTTGATACATTCTCCTATTCTCTCTCCACTTTTATGGAATCAAAATTTCTGGCACACTCGAAAGTATTGTGCAGATCTTGATAAATAATTTACCGATTAAATTTGGCAAATATTCGTGGATATTGTTTGTGAAGAATGTGCTCCACCATTGTTTGAAATCCGAACATTTTAAAATATACTTGTACTACCTGAAATTGACAACTTGGAGTAACTATCACCTCATAATTCTCTCACAAATATAATCCAAACATTCGGATGCTACTCCTTAGCAAACATTCCGTAAGTTCATAAGCAATAATGAATCTCCACTTTAAATGTACTATGTGATGAGAAGGAAGAAACGAACTTTGTAACAACACATCACCGGTTTGGTTGTTTCTACCCAGTCCTTCGGCAATTTTCCACGGCCAGTTTTCTTAGATTGAAATTCACGTACATCTGTTTCAGGTGTGATATCCTGCAACACTCACTTTCCGCATTATTTGTCTGCAAGCGTGCAAACTGAAATAGAAATCAGCAACGGGAGAGTTCAGGTCATCGATTCTATCACTCTGCTGCCATTGCATTACTGCTACTGAATGACCCGAAAAGACACCGTGCTATGGCTCACCGTTTTTTTCAACAGGCTGTCATCATAGATATCAATAACGATTACCTCTCGCTTCTTTAGTAATGCCGGGCTCAAATCCAACGCCTTAAAATTGTTAGCAGTTAGCGTTAGCTTAAATTGGCGTAAATCAGCGTAAATTGTTAGCAGCAATCTTTGCGACTGTATTTCTAAAGATTACTGTTATCGGGTTTGATTCACAAATTATCTTCCGCATCATCCTTTTCCCTTCGAAAAAGGATTTGTTCATGTCGTCCAACTAATTCATCATCGCTTTCTCACATCAACTGACTTAGCACATTGAACTTTGTACTGTTCTCTCGTGGCAGGATTCGCAGCCTAGTTAGCAAAGTTTTCTGCTATCACAACTTTTCAAACATAAATGCTTACATTTTCGGTATGGCCTTTGTCCGGAAGATGCATCGATTCAATATTGATGTAGAAAGCATCCTTCATATAATCCGGATTCTGCCAATGCATCTTTCATCGTTTATTCAAAAAAGATTGTAAATGAGTGGTAAGAAAGTATCGTAAAAAAGATGGAATAAGGCGCTTGCTAAACTGAACATGAGGAGGTAAGCGTACCGTCTCCTACTGATTTCCTTCCTTTATCATTGCTACTTAACGAAAGACGAAGAGAACGTCAACCTTAATAACTGTTTTACAATATGGGAATGCATTCCAGCACTCTTCGTGTAACACGAATGCCGCATCCGGAAATATTTTACGTAATGCCCACGGCGACTTCGACTTGGTATGGTAAATTTTATGTGTGTAAATACCGGTGATAGAATGTCCTGGACGGATCGTTGTACTTGTAAAATCGTCATTTTCCAATACCTGCAAAACCATCTTCTCGTACTTAATTATCATCTGACCGACTTTTAGGTCCAAGCCAGGACCTTACTACAGGAACGGTCGATCATGGAGAGATGTTTGAAGTTGTAAAATATCGACAATATTGTTTCACTAATCAATGAACGGGAGAGAGAAACTTTTGTCTCCTCTCTGTCTCCTGCTTCCTTGTCCACATCCCATGGTGTTTGCATTAAGCCGTGTCACTTCATAACAGAACAATAAAAGTAACCTGAACACCGTCGCCTCCCCCTGTCTCATTTTTGCTCGTTTCCGACACCGCAAATAACTGTCCGCGGTAATACTCATCCATTTCGAACGGCATTAGAATACGGAACTCCTTCAAATCCCAATGAGCTCATTGATGACTGCACTGTTCTCTCTGCCAAACTACCATTTTGCATGAAATTCTAGTGAAAAAACCATGTCATCTCATCCCATAACACTTACTTTGATAATCATCGCTAATGCAGTAACCGACAGACCGCCTACGTGAACACCACTGTAAACAATAAGCCTTACTTTACAACATTTCCTGCTTTATCACTAATTTACTTTGCTTTAGCCCACAGCAGCAGCACGGTTCCCGACCCGATATAGAAGAAATAATTCCCTGTCTCCTGTGAATCTATCGCTCACCTTCTATACGGTCACCGTTCAACTCCCGCTGTTCACTCCAACAATTTCTCTCAATGCTTGGGAAGTAAACTTTTCGTCGTAGACGACGCATCGTGAAATCGCAGTGGCCGATCGAAACTTGGGCTGCAGCACCATCTAAATAAGTAAATGTCGTTTGTCATTTACCTGTGGATGTGCGTGTGTATGCATACGTGTGGGTGGACAGTATATGGTAGATAATGTGCTGAATTAAAGTTATATATTCCAGATGGAAAATATTATTTGTATACAGATATATGTGGATGAGTCAGCGGATCCTGTGCTTCGTTCCACCGATTGCGCCCATTCGTTTCATCCGATGGAAACATACTGCCATCACCAACAGAGGAAAAGGTCTCGGGAACCTGCATGAGGTGCGTAAACGCTGCGCTGTTCCCCTTACAGTGTAAATGTTTGTTTTTCAAAAAAGTTGATCCCTACCAGTGCCAAACTATGTTTTCCATATTTTCATTTCCTCATCTTTCCAAACCTATTCAACGATACTGCCGATTACAGTTCTTCGAATAGTATGCCTTTTCCTGTTCTTATCAGCTAGATCTCCGCAACTTTTTACAGGAAGTTAACAGACGGTTCACTCAGCGAATACTGGAAAGATTACATCGATGGGATGGAGTGAATGGAAACGATTGGTTCATGATCTACCGAGATAATCATCCCTCACGTTTTGTTCTACTTGTTACCATAGCAGTACCTGTGATCGGCTTCCTAACATCAGAAAATTGTATAGCTGACGTCAAAGATGGTCGACTATTGGATGCTTTTAAGGATACTAATATAGTTCGACAGGTGCTATTATTTCGTAGCGTTATCATATTTGTTTATGTCGGCTTAATGTGGTAGCTTGCAGATGGGAATTCTTGTTGTACTTCCAATGTTTTCTTTATTGCTGGTGACATATCTGGCATGGCACCTCAATGCCATTCGAATTCATCGTATTTATGTCAATAAAAAAGAACAGAAAACATTTATCGCGGTCATTTCCCATTGTGGCATATTTACTCGAAAGGTTAGCTGAAGATTTCTTACTTCATTTCCTCTGCTGTGCGTTTTGATGCTGTGTCAGCAGAAAATAGCTTGGACGCTGAACTCTAATATTCTATTATGAGTGGGTGGTTACTATCATGCTGTAGGAAAGACTCGTATTATAAAATTAAAGCACTGGAAAAAAACTACTTAACATTGAATTTTAATTTTCGAAATTCTCCAAATAATTAATCTTTCCATGGTTATATCATGAAAAGTTGTTTTAATGCGATATGAGTAATGGACCGAACTAACCATCGTGAGCTTCGTAATCCTTTTTATTCTTACTCACGCTCGGGAATCAATATTAACTCACGAGAAAAAAGTAGCTTTTGTGATAAAATATATAAATTTGAGATAATCTTTGGTGGGTGCAAGTAGATTGTTATCTATGTCTCTCATTTTTCCCAAAATTATTCTGAATTTCTCTTTTTTCCATTTCCTGCTTTATTGTGTTAGCTGTTGTCAAAGTAAGTAACACCTAGTGCATTTGATTCCGATGACTAAAATAACTTGTGTATATTTAGAAAATATGATTATTTGCTTAGTTAATTTTTAAATCGCTTTATTCCAAATTAACGCATGACACTTTTCTCGTGTTACCGTTTTAAATGATTATGATTACATCACTGTTCTTAGGTGCATTGATGCAAATTACGTTAGTGTGTAAAAAAAGCAAATTGCAAATTAACCTTTTGACTGGAAGATTGACTTTGCCGCTTAAGTAAAAAAGGGATAGTTATTAAATAATAACGCGTGCAGAATAGTGCGGTTGATAATTATAGTGCTGCTAATGTTTTATTGATGGATGACCAGATAATCCTAAAATAGTAGGCTGTAAGTAAAATGACGGTAGCTTGACGACCCTTCTTATCACTATGAGGTGGATTATTATTTATTGTTGCTTTAATTTTCTTCCAATTAGGAAGAGTCTTGCGGTATTAATTATATAGTTTGATGATACCAAAGTAGATATGAATTTAATTTTTCCAATTTTTAGGCTTATTCAAGGTGAGAAGGCTTCAAATGCAAAACCTATTACGATGTCAGTTAAATTATAGCTTTTTCCCCTCATTAATTCTAGGAATATAATGAAACTATGATTTTATTAACTGTTTGCTTTTCAGATACCTTTCACAAGACACAACATTCGAATACTGGAAAGTGCTGGTCATCAGCTATGGTCATTTGTGAAAGGTTCTATCAAAATTAACAAACATCGCTTTATGCTTAACGATGAAGGGTTCCGGGACATCCAATATCGACATTTGATGTTGGGGCGAAATACGAAATCGCTTGCCACTGCCGATAAGAGTAAGAAGACAATATTGTAATGTTAAATTCTGCAGGATATGCCAATTATTAATTTGTGAAGTGACTAATAATTTCTTACAATGTCTTATTTCATCGCTTATTATTCTCCTGAGTTTTATGCATTATAATGAACTATTTAATTTTTCTGGCTCGACTTATGGCGCTATAACTTATGAATACATAAAATTGATGGTATTACAGTGACATGCATTTGCTATTTGTTAAGGAACAATGATGAGGACTTATATTATTATCATAAGGATTCCTATTCTTTCCAGAACCCGTGCTTCTCCGCTATGCTGTTCGTATATGACGAATCGCTTAAGGAAAGTGTTAATGTTTCCAGTTATCATGCTATTCCTGTTTATTTGATCGCTGCAACTTATGATAATTTGGATACTTTAGATATTTATCGTCCAGCACATGACTTCATCATTAACATCGATTTCAATATCATAACGAATATCCACATACTACACGATTAAGCTACTCGTAATGGAAGCAATACTGAAAAGGATACTGATACATATGGGAATGAAAGAATCTAATTGCTAGAAGTTCTTGATTTTCGAAATCAAAAAAGAAAATTGATGACGTAATGGCGGGAATAAACAAGGAATTAGCGTATGTAGATAAAAAAGGAACTTTAAGACAAAAAACGGCTTATAAGCTAAGAATTACTACCACTAGTGACAATGAAAATCTGATCAGCAGTATAATATCGGAGTAAATACAAATGGAGTGTAGAAAAAAGCGGTAAACGCGACTGAGGCTAATGAAAAAGAACGGATGGTCCTTATGCGCAATATACTTTTCTAGGAAACGTACAGAAAGTTTCCCGGGTTACTCCCTCAGTTCAGAGGCTGTCAGTACCACTGTCTTGGTGCTCGATTAAGTCAAATGATCATATTCTTTTCGATTCCGATTAACAGTGTGCGGCATTTATTTAACAATTGTTGAACTTGCATACTCCGTACTTTAGTGATCATAATATATGGAAGTGAAAAGAAGGACAAAGAATATCTCAAATATCTACAACGAATCTTTTTTGGTAATGTTGCACACAATTTGAGAACTAAAGAAAGGCACAACGGGTAAGGAAATTGCTCACGATAAATATATGATTGTTATTGTAAAAAAAAGTAATGAGGAAGCACTGGAAGTAGCAGTCACGGAGAAGTTCCCGGCTTGGTGTTAATTGGTTTGACTTCGTCTTCAAATGTAAATCGTTGATAATTTGTAGCGGAAAAGCGTCTTGGTGAATGCATTTCGAATGTTTGGAACGAGTCGCGTAATTCGTCTAATTCTGGCGATGACAGCTAGAAAGCACGAAATGAGCAAATATCCAACTTTTTATCTATTCCTCATACAACTACTTATTTCAGCTAGTTCATAACTGGAATCACAATGTAACAACTCCATCCAGAATAACAGTCATGGTGACAGTAAGAAAACCTGCCGGTTCAGCTTCGTCAGTGGTGCTTTGTTCGTCCAGCATCTTCCCGTACAGAACTTGTATTAGTTCGGAACAAATCTGATTGAATCGCGAGTCAGGCAATGTCGCCTCTTCGTCTATTATGCGTAATGCTCCCTCTTCAGTTACTGTTTCAAAAAACTGATATGCTGCAAAATGTTTGAAGCACTGTAGGCACCAATCATGAACTAATTCCAACACTTTGCCCTGCAAAGGAGTCAGCAAAAAGAGTCTATAATTTGAAACATAAATATTACTGACTATTTGTTGATAAAGCAAACGAATACTTACTGTAGGCAGTCAAACATCCCGAGAGCTCCAAAGATGCTGGACTGAAACTTTTCGCCGGTTTGACTCCTGAAAATACGCTCATATTTGTTGTGGATATCATCTTTGACATCTCACTGTAAAGACACAGAGAGACGAAGAGTTGAAATTTCTCAGCAGGATCGTGAAGAAGCAGTATCACGATAAGGAATGATGGAAAGTACCATGGAAAAATCTTTCACTTGTCTCGCCACTCTTCGGATTTTCTACTTCTAGAAAAGACACAAAGACAAAATGGGCAAGCAAGAGTTTAGAAGATAGGAAACATGAAGAAAAGCTAATGAATACATCTTTAAACAATACAGTAACGAACCAACAACAGCGACACGTGGGAAAATGTATGCAGTGACAAGCTGTGGAAGTACATTTGTTTTATCTTCTGACTGAATAGCGCCTGATGTTCTTAGTGGTTGTGCACGCGAGAAAAATATATTATGCGCTACTTCATGAGTGCTTAGATAGTCTACACAACGTGCTATACTTCTGAAATTAAAAATCATACAAGAATGCTTTAAACACGACCTGTCGCTTCTGTTGCTATCAACAGGATTCTAGATCTCGAAAATCTCGATTATACCTTCGAAAATAATAAAATACGGTCATATAGGAAATTTACACTTATGGATTGAAATATATTATGCTGAAGATTCCGCAGAAGACGAAAACAAATAAGTAGCCTACTCCTTTCACTTTTCTACTTTTTACGGAGTATGACACTTACATCACGAACTTTTCATACTGCTCTGGGGCAGTTAGCTGGAACACGATAGCATATGTAAACCATATCGGACGCTTGACTATATATATATTGTCGAACAGATGTTCACACCTCTATAATCAGTTAAATACAACAGATTGTATGTCTGTGTTATACAGATTTGTAAGGCAAAACGAACCGTGCGGTGTATAATAACGAGGTACAAGATACTGAAAAAGAGAGAAAGTAAAGCATAACAAAAGATAGAGAAAAGATAGGGAGAAAGAGAGATGCTGAAAATAGACTTACACGATTGATCAAGTCAGAATCATATGGCCAAGTTAAAAGATGAAGATGCAGGTGATTAATGGAAGCCAATGCCAAAAGGCTGTTGAATAGGACGTGAAAGGAATTGTCCCTCGTTAAAAGCATTGTATCGGTTGCCAAACGAACTGCTACTTCGGACAGAATCTGCAGAATGTTTCATTTAGGTGTTAAGGGAACAAATAACGTCTTTTCAGAAAGAAATCTGAAAGGACATGAAACCTGAAAGGCCATTGTTATCCAGTGTCGTACGAGGCTTGCAGTTCCTATCAGAAGTGGTTTCTCATCACCAAACAAAAAAACAAAAAACATGAAGTAGAAAATAACGGAGAAAGATAAACTAAAGCTTCTATCTCTTGCTTAGAATCATATTCAAACCGATGGTTCCCTCACTTGAAAAGGAATAAAGGTTAAAGTCACATTTCAAAACTATTAATTTTGAAGTAATAATGTCGATTCCAATTAAGTTAAGCAAAGTTTACTTGTGGTGCACAGCGATTCATGTATGGTAACAGCAAGGAATGTCCTCTTGCAAGCGGTGCGGCGTTAATTGCAACAGCATGATAATCCAATGGATCAGTGTTTAATAAATGATCCTTGCGTTGCAGATATAACAGTATCTTTAAAAAAAGTTATATTTCGGATCACTACGCTATGACTGGCTGATTAATGACAGGACGGGTATGGGATAGCATATACATGAGCGATAAATTCCCCGTGAAAGAATTACATTGAAAGAATTACATTCAGAAAATAATTAATCCTAAGACTTGTATATTTGCCGGAAACTGACCTCATTCTCTTTCAGCTTCGTAAAATTCCATCTCAGGTTATTAAACGGCTCACGTACGGCTCGGAAATGCATGGGTTTACGCCTTCTTTCTCCACGTTCAACATTAAGCTAAAAGATTAAAAATCGATTTTCCCTCAGTTAACTTAATCATTTATGTATCATACAGATATGAAAACTTCTTTTCACATATTAAAGCTGCCGTTAATTTAGCTTAATAAAGCAACAAGAACTGGAAAAAAATTTTAGGTACACAAACATTTGATGTTCGATTTCAGTTATCAACCAACAAACCTTTTTTGATATTATCAAAAATGACAAAAGATAATCAATAAGCTTTCAAAAATGATATAATTTCACTTTGAATTAGTATGAAGAACATTTTATGAATGATTTCAACAACATCTCAACCAGATTTTTTCAGTCAGTTGCATGTCAAATTGTCAAATTTTCTGATGTATGTAATGGTATTGTTGCTAAAATGGTTAGGTCCAGGAAGCAGGATTCTATCAAGCTTTTTTAAACACTGGATAAATTGAAATGGATGTCTTTAAGTACAAAAAAAACTAGGACATTGAAGTTACTTTATCATTTCAAAAAAAAGGAAATGTGGCTTTTGAGAGACTGCACTCATTAATCGTTGAAGTCAAATTTCGAAATACTGCCTAGACTAACAAACAATTTAAAGAATCGATGAGTTTTTATAAGCTGGCTATTTGCATTTATAATATTTTTACTATTTTCTAAGTTTTGGAGTAGTGCACCTTAAAATCTAATCATTTCTTCCATTGCTTTGTGAATTATAATAAATACCAATTAAAACAGAGAACCAATAAATCGGTGAATACCATAGAATACAACAGTTAAGTAAAATTTAGATAAAAAACATAAAAGCTATCATGGCACATGATGTCTGACCTATTATGACTGGCTGACTTAATCATTCTTAGCATTCTCACGTGACTGGAAAAAAAGTAGGATAACAGACCTGTATGGAAAAGTTAAAATCACCCTCCAGAAGTTTGTACATGCAGTTTAGATCGTAGTTCAGTAGCTTATGCTTCTTGGCGTCTTCCCATTTGGATATAAGTACATCTTCGAACTGCAACAGACTCTTAATCTAATAAAACTTAAATAATTCAATGGATTTTTTCGAGAGCTTATCAAAGTACATTGAGATAGATTGAAAAAACATTACTGCAGCCAAATATATTTTCTTTTTTACGAAAAAAAGAAAGAAAAAGCATTACAATGCTATAACAACACTCTAGAAAAAGTGTAGGACTCGAAATAAAGAGATCGGTGCCTCTTACTTAAAAAAGAAAATCTGTCGCGATTTATATAATATTTTCAAAGTAAAGCATAGATCCACATTTGAAAAAATTGACCAACTTTGGAACGACTCTCATTATCTTTCGGATTCCTTAAATCGTAGATGAAATCTGACGCTGAATAAGAGAATAATGAAGCGGACGAGGTGCGGTGTTGTCCAACAGGTAGCTGGAATTTGAGTTAGCTCGAAGATAATGCAAAAGAACAATTTCTTAATTAATTGAGACCAGACATAGCTCTCCATCGTAGCCCCTTTTACCTTCGTCTCACTCTCTAGACTTATACTCAGAAGAACGCTCACTGTTATAAGCAAAACTTGAGGAAACCTCAAGTGATCCACAGTTTTCAAGATTATTTCTTCACTAACTTTCTTTTTCTTTGACTTCAGATGGTAATGAATTACTGAGCAGCAAAAATGTCGATCTCGTCTATCCAGAAAGAAGAGTTTGAGATGTTACCTGAACAGAGGAGCGCAAGAGACGGATCTGTGAGGAAGCGCTAAGCGCGTCAGTTTTGCTATTCATAATAAACGAAATGAGAATCTCGACAACGCGCCAACAATATATAACTGCATTTAGTCGGACACAGTGACCTGAAAGTAAGTACTGGAGAAGTGGAATCCGCACCTTAACAAGAACAGAAGTGTTCCTTAAACAATGAAATCATTCAGATTCACAAAAATCCACTGACTGCATAGAATTGATCGGAAGAGAGATGAACAGCTTGGACTAAAAATAACAATAAGTTGAATGCTAACTTGACTTTACCCTAACTCTTAACTTCCCCAGTAGATCCGAACAGCATTACACCCACTTCTTACCCTGTCCTGTCCTACAGAGATCTGGGAAACTTTTCAAGAACTGCAGAAACCAACTTCCAAATGACTCTCGGTGTTTTGTGACCGGCCGTACCCGGCTATTAGTGGGCAATTCGAGATTGGGTAGGAGCTATCCCATCTCATTTATAGCTTCCTGGTTCTGGTCATCCATTCTGTTCTGACATTTTGCCTATGACTGCCCATTGTTTGTCCGTCGTTCTGCCCGGATACTGACTGCGACAACGAGTAATTGATATGTCAAACTGTTGTGGCCATTTTGTCGTAATTTAGTCAACTCGTCTAAATTTTGCAGTTTTTCCTGCATAAGCAGCTATCATTCCAATAAATGAGGTAGGATATGTGACATACCCGAGTAAACTCCCGACAGTTCACATACGATACCATTGGCTGTAGAAAGAACTGAGCCGAATGGTGAAATGTATTACGCTAAGTAAATATTGCGTCACACTTGGTGATACGTATATTTTTTGAACGTGTTCCAATGCTTTCGCTTGCATTTTGGTGATAGACGTGTCACGTAGACGTTGATACATTTAAACAGAATGAGAAAAGCTTTTTGTTTTGGGCTATGTCCACGTGTATCAATCTTCCATTCATTTTGTTTGTTTGATTTTTCAGTTTTCCGCACATTGATTTGTAATTACATATTTGTCTGTTCACAAGTTTATTTGGTTGTTTCATTTATTTATCTCATTTATCACGACAAGTGTCTTCCTGCAAATTTGCTTCTGACCATTCATTAATAGCAGTTCTATTTAAAAATTGAGTTTGGTCACCAAATTTACCCTTTCTCCGTAAAATCAGATAATTTTTAATGCTTAGTGTTAGCAGCTCTGATGAAATTGCAATCGTGTCTCCTTTGATGGTAACCAGCAAATTTTTAATGCTTAGTGTAATCAGCAATTTATAACAACTTATTCTCCTCGTACTATACATTACTTTTACTTGTATTTTATTCCTTGCTTACTTTAGCGCCTTCATCCTATCGCCCAAAAATAGCCATTATTCAGTGTGCTGCAGTGTTGCAGTGTTGCAGTGTTTTATCCTGTTGTGTTGTAATTCGTGATGGCGATAAATCGATACTCACTGGTCGCTGGAACTCAGGTGCAATCTTGCATTTTGCGATACAGTCAACCGACACATACAGGTAAAAAACTATTTTTCCATATTTATCACTTTGCATTTCCTCTTACCCTGTAACCATTTCGACAATTCATGCTGCATGTCTGAATTCGAGTTTGGGAGGAATGAGATTAGATGCAGCAAAGTACCTGACGATTGATTGAGGCAGTGATTTGCTATACATTAAGCCAATCGATGCTTGGAATGAAAATACTTTGGATTAAATGGGAAGAATGTTGGAAGAATATAGTAGCTATGGACATAAAACTTTGTGACGTTTTGCATTTGCAGTTAGTGTTTTAATGAGTACTATGAAGCAGGAAAGTGTTGTGGTAGGACGAAAGGATGTTCCAGAAAAAATTGGTTTTTTTACCAAGTTGAAATACCGTTTCCAAGGTAATCCTGATTAGTAATGCATCAATTTTAATATCGAATTGCTGGATTACGATCTTTTCATTTCATTTTTCAAATATCTTCATTTCATGGATCCTCGAGCCTATCAGCATTATATTGTAGGTTAAAACTAATCATTCCGTGGTTTTTATAGGAATCCCACTGAAGGATGAATTGCATGCCCCGATATCCTTTATGAGGGATATCGGGAAACAGTATATTCCACCACCTTTGCCAGAGGTACCGAAAGACTTTAAAGAATATCCAGAGCGTGATTTGGTATGTATTTGAGAAAAAAAGTTTATTTGAAAATATCTGTAGTTATGCTCTTTGAATACTCATATTCTGTTAACCTGATAAGCAAAGTTGCATTTTATAATGCACAATACTGTACGATATTGATATTTATGAACTTTACTGCTTTTTGATGTTATTCTTAGGTGAATTATCCATATCCTGCGAAGCGTATGTACCCACCAAAGTTGCGGCTTATGATCGTGCCAGACAAATTTATGAACGATTTTCATAAATATACGGGGACATCCGGTAAGTTTAATAATCTTTTTGAAATTTATATATGAATGTGTAGACAAGTTGCTATTCAGAAGTAGGAGGATTTGATACGGATGGCTTAAATACTGTTTTATCTTAGTAATTTTTTGATATTACATTACGAAACGTGCATTCTGATTCTGATGATAAGTCTTGTCTGTCTAGTGAGTCTGTATCAATGGATAGTTCTATTCCCTCTCGTCTTTTGCTTGGTATTGTTCAAGTTGATTTCTCCATCATTAGTAGTGCCGTTTTGGTCTAATTCACGTTTTTTCAGGACCATATGTATTCTTCGCTATGTTTTATGCATTTCTGCATACGAAAGGGCTATTCGAGATTGCTCACGATAGAGTGAAGATCTTAATCCTTCTGTTCTACTATTACATATTTTCCAGGGCTTTCAACTGTGAGTTCTCATTTGCCAAGTTCTAGAAGAAGCGTCTTTGATGTCTCTTCTCATAACCTGTTTTTATTTACTTTTATCTGTTAGCCAGTTATATTACTTTCATTCATTCAGAAAACTAACGAAAACGATATAAATTTCAAAATAACAAATCCATTCTATATTTCACCTTCCTATTTTGCACTTCCTTTTATATAGAACATTTCATTTTACAACTACTGGAAAACATGGGAATCCTTCGTGGACTCAAATCTATTGTCTCTCATATTGTTATAATTTGTTAGTTCCTTCAAACTGTTACAGATCGATGGGATAAATATTTTTATGAAAATTGTAAGGAAGTTGAAAAAAAGTACTTGGATATCATCGACAACAACTTCAAGGCAATTCGAGAAATTCAAGAGGTAAGATGCTCAATAAGTGACTTAGTACTAGAAATGGCGATAAGATATTGATATAGCAGTATAATTTATACTCTGTCATAATGTGATCAATTTCTTTAGCGTTCGAAAATAGTTTTGCTTTTTTTATTGTCAGCATTCCCCCTATGATTGAAATGTTTTTCAATAATTTGTCGTCATAAGTAAAAGTGGGAAAATTTTGATGGGAAAAATGGCAACATTTAGATTCTCGATAGGATTTCTGATGTAATTGACTTTGTAGACTAGAATTTCGTTTTAGACATCGAAAGCAGAAAAAAGTGCTTATGCAGCAGTGAAGGAATACTATCCAGCAATCTTTAAAGAGAATTTAGCCCTTCAACTGGAATCAACTTATCGGAAAAATGTGGAAAAATTGGCTACTGAAATGAAGCGCCGTCTTGACTATTTACAAGAAACGGAAACCGTGAAACATAGTTTCGCTCGTGACCACATGCTGAAGTGGATCATCAGTTCTGTGAGTTTTAGTTCCAAATTGTCCCATAACTCCTGTTTGATGCTTGATTATGTTTTTTGATCATGTTTGAGATCCATAACCGATTTGCTTTAGGATAAAGTGCTGTTTAACACCGCAGCTATTTATCCTCTTCTCCCGAAGTATCATTGTGATGCTTTGAATCAGTCAAAAAGTTGCAGATCCAATCGGAGATAATGGCAAATAAAGAAAACATTAAGGAAAAGTATATGGATATCTGTATCGAACAACTCAAAGGGCTCTCTTTACAACGATGAGAAGAGTTTCATTTTTTTCTTTTGTATCTTCATAGGACACATGTGATCTTGTTAGATGAACACTATAGCTGTTATACACATCATGATAGATCCGACTGAAGTATGCAAATGTTTTAATGTTGCGAAATCAGACGATAAAAACTAGTGAAAAGGAATATCATGTGTAGGCATGAATTACATGAGTTTTTCTCATGGATGAAATTTTTTTCTCTTTACTAAGGCTTACCTCTCGTCGCTGCTCTGAACTTTATAATAGTAACATTGACACAGTGTAATAATGGTCAGCGAGTAGTGACATAAAGTGATAGATACCAACAGTGCCAAAAATGGAAGAGTAGTGATTTTCTGTCAAAGTTTACTAAATATTGCTTCTTATAGCATAAAACATGCGATTACTATCAGATTTATTTTGACTATTCAAATGGTGGTGAGATCATCGATTGTCCGTCTGTATTCTTTGTTAGGTACAAAGGCTTCCCATCGAGATGCGGGATATATATGCTTATTCTTTTCGTACCAACTTCGTAGTACAACCTGAAAAAGTAATTCAGCACATCAAGTCCTCTTATCACTCTGCTTGGAACTTCTTTATTTTCTTTTTTCACTAAAAATCTTTTCAGTATTGTCTTTCTAAATCAGATCGAGTGGAATGCACACTACAGTGCAATGTCGCATGAATGGAGCTAATGTATCACTTCAACTTTTACTTTTTCGGGTTTTCGTACAATTTGATGGCTGATATGGCTGAATAAGTCGTTATACAGTTTTTAGTGTTCTCATATAGCGTTTTTGAAATTAAATGATCTGCACAGAGACGAAAACCCGAAGAAGAGGTCATTAGTGATCATTGGTACTCTCTGATATCATTAAGTTCGGCGATACCTTGGCTGGATGAGATTCGCCACAATCTACAGCGGCATCCTGTCTTAGCCGTATTTCCCCTGCTGCATCAAATTCATATAACGGACCGGTTTTTCCCATCGCTTTCGTCACAATGAAATCTTGAAATCTGAACGATTCTGTCTAAATAAATATTGCAACGACGTAACTATCAAGAGATAGCGTTATATTGTTGTCTTAATATTATACCACATAACAAAAATATACAACATATAGTTGTCAAAGCATTGAAATTGGGCATCAAAAAAGATCAGATTCAGATCTGTCTTAATAGTTAATTTTCTGGTTGGTAGCGTGAAATAAATTAGAACTAACGTGTAAAAATGAGGTATGATGAGATCTTCCTTAACAAACATTAAGCTCTCAGGTACAGCTGCCCGTGTTTCGCTGAATTCCCTTTTCAGCAACTGTAAAAGTATAATTGAACCAACAAACTGCAGTGGAAAGTTGTTCTCATAGAAAGAAGAAAAGAGTATGATGATGGCAGAGTACATCAAAGATTACTTCAAGTGCTCGAACAAGGAACTGTGATATAGTATTTCCTTTTTTCATTTTCAAGTCTTTCCTGTGACTGGATCCATCCCAGTATACGAATGCAATGTTGATCTCTTCGTTTTTCTCTTTCTCCTGCAACGCCTGCCACTCTTTCGCGAGATCTTCCTTCAACCTTTAATAAGTAACTTGGAAACCTATTGTTAAAAAATAGATAAAGGAAATATATAATTACCTAGCCAATTCCTTTTCTCGATTACGATCTGGAAGAAATGCAGTCTCCACAGTTGGATCCATACCTACTCGCTAAAATTAGATTTGTTATACTTCCACCTTTGGAAAGCAAATTTTTAAAGCATCGGAACGAAAAAAAGGCATTGCCTTACTTTTTTCTCTAATGGTACAGACGCCATATCCTCTTCGTCTTCATCTTCATCATCGAATGCAAAAGAAAGCACTCGTTTCTGAAATTATCTTACCCATAAATCTTACACGTCATGAGAAAAAACTGAGAGAAGAATCGGATGGACACAAAGGAAGGTCATTCAAATCTAAGTGTAGAATGATGGTAGTGCAAATACATGGCCTATAATGGGGAAAAGTTTGAGGCACGATGAGGAGATCTCATCTGCAAAGACTTCGTAACATCTAAAAGTGAACATAATGAAGCATAATAAAATATATGTATGACTTCTGAGTAAATTATCATCATTTTTCATTAAATTATATGAGTGTAAACCAAAAGAAACAGTGATGCTAAGACATATAATATTCGGACTTACTTGACAGACTTTACTATTGCTGGCCGCAGTTCTAATACCTTCCTTCGAATTCCCTTCAACTGCTCTTTGCAACTCCCTGCAGAAGTGGCAAAATATCTAATCAAATTCATAGCTAACAGCCACACTCCTCACACTCACTATATGGATATGAGATTCTATCTTGATCTATGATTTTCTATATACTCAAATTTTGGAAAAAATTTCATATCAATGGCTAAAGCGACTGAGTTATCTATTAACAAATGGTAGAACCTTGCTTCAACCACATCTCGCTGTTTTTCTCGCATTTCATCCAGCGTTACCAAACCAACAGTGCTAGTTTTAAGAGAATCTTCTATAGCATCGTAATTAGCGGTGAATTTTGTACTGATACCTGATTTCACTAAAATGAGACAAGCATAAGTGAAGAAATAATTAAAGTCCTTCTCACTCTGCATTAAGTCTTTAACTAACAAAAAAGGGAGGCTTACGATTTTTCGTTTCTTCTTCCAGTTTCCGCCGTCTTTGTTCGATAGCTTCTTTAGCACGTTCACGTTTCTTCGCGATATGTATCAGACGCCCTTCATCTGCTTTGGACATTTTCCTGAAAAAACATTATCATTGATTATACACTGTTGCTGATATGCCATGAACGTATTTGTCATACATATTCTAAAGAGTTCGGAAAGGCTGGATAATATTCTTCGCATTTTCATATTATTCACATGATGCAACGATTTTATCAACACAATAACTGTAGTAATTAAGTAATTAAGCTATTAGAAGGAAACTATCATTTATCCATTCATGTCAGTGGCTATTAAAGAACTTAACAAAGCCATATCGAACTATTTCATATTGAGTACTGCAAAATAAAATCAAATGAACTACAAATCACTCTGTAGAATTACAGAACCAGACAATCAGATTAAAGTGAATGTTGCAACAGAGATAATTTACCATAATGGTAAAGTAAAGTGTAATAACTACCAACGATTATAAATACATATGGATTTAAATCCACGAACGAGTATTGGATAAAGGCGAATTTATGGAAAAGTGACAGCTAAAGTGAATGATGTGTAAATTATGTTCTATAAAATAAATATTGATTAGATAAAAATGAAAATTAATAATATCAATGTACTATAACGGTGTTAGCTCCACTAAACTAAGATGTAGAAAAATAAAACGGTGCTAAACACACACACACATTTGCAGAAATAAACCTGAAAGACGACTATGAAATGTGTCGGAAATACAGTGACAGTTTTTTAAACTATCGAAGCAGCAGAATGCAACGAAATCTGTAAGAAACGTATTTTCATTTATGTTAAATTGCGGTTTAAACTATGCTATCTCCAAGATAATCATGAGAGTTGACTTCCTACAACGTCTAACTCTCAGTCGTCCTAGACCACATCTCTGGCGGTCAGGTTAATACGAGTTATCAAACCATAACAATAAGAAGCACTGCTCTCCTTAAAGTTACTTAATTTTGAATAATTTAACAAGCTTCCGCTTTGTTCAAAGCCCAATCACACAGCTGGTTCTTACTTCTAGCAAAATGTCATCGGTAAGCCGAAAAATGTACAGTCCGATCGGATAGACTAAGAATCTTGGAATTAGTACAAGTAGAAATTGGAACTTCAGAAGCATCCGAATTGTAAGCTTCTTCAAACTCAACACTTCTCTCTACCAAGTACTCCAAAGTGCAGTTGATAATTTTTCGTCCTTAAATACATTGAATTTCTCTTGTTCCCCTTATCCAAATCACCATTTCACTATTCTCTCGACTTTACCATTAGAGAATCTTGAGCATAAAATAAAGCAAAGCACTTTGAGTTCTTCTTAGATTCAATGAGGAATCTTCCGTATAGCATAAAATGTAAAGTGAAATGATATAATTTGAATCAGTGATTCTTTCCTTTGATTATTTTAATCCTCCTATGCGATAAACGTATCATTTCAGGAAAATTCCATACTTCATATTCTTGAAAATAAGTATAATAGTAAGCACTTAACAATTTACTACTAAAATCAAACAGCAAATATAAATAGTTTTATTGAATAGCCAATTTTTTGCCACAAAACCAATCTATGACAGACACTTAAAATGTTATAAAACAGTTCATTTCAATAAATCCACTTGCCATACACACCATAAATAGAATATATTCGCTACAAAAAATAATAGAGCAGTTAAGTAAAATAAATATGGAATCAAGACCACATTAACCGAACAAAATATGTGCTGAGTAGATAACATCACTTCACCCTCTTTAATATTCAAAATAAAATAATGCTTGAAAGAGTTGCCACGAAATTCTGTGTTATCATTAAATGTTTTTGATAATGATGAATAAAGTGGTAAATGTTAATGCAAATATTATAACAGAACTCGTCTTCAGAATACAGAAAAGAATACTATGAAAACAGGCTCATATGAGTACGCCTGTACGATCCTCACTTGCTGATGAAGTTCATTAATTATGATAATAAGATAGTATTCACATTGTAACAGTGATCCAACAATAATCCGTTAAAAGTGAATATCAAGTGACCGATATCAAATTTGGCTTACTATAAGACGAAACATGAAGCTTCACCTGTTAATAAAAAATTAAAGACAGAAGTCGCAGGCACTATTATTGCCTGGCCAGGAGATAACGAACAATTGTCACAATTCATGACAGTCCTGCAAGTGGAAGTAACGTGGGGTATCGCACTAACTGAACAGAGTATAAATGCGAAGTGTAAAGCAATCGTACATATTTTGAGGAGAAATGCAATGACCACCACTCCCTTGGTCGTGTCACAGCTGAATATTAGCAGTCGCTTATCCTTGATGGCATGGAATCATCCATCTGACACGACCGCAAATAACTTTTGACGTTTCTCCTCCCTCGTGTTTCTCGACTAGATCTCTTCGCTAACTTCACTACTTTCCCCTCCTCCTGCCCAGCGACAGGAAAGGCTTTCCACATGAGAGAGGTAAAACATTAACAGTGAGGTGAGGGAGGGACCCTCTCGTAAAGTCAGGCGTGGTGGCGAAATGACCCGAGCCTCGGCACCAATCTCTGCTGCACCCACTACGAGAGCAGCCCTGAGAAATGGACACGTTGTTTGGGATTGAAGTGTTGGCAGGTTTGGGAAATAGGGTGAGGTAGAAGTTCCACGGGCAGCTGGAACTTCTACTGAACCACCCCCTGATCCTTGAGCTTACCGGTGACAGGTTTTCCGATTTCCCGCTGTCAGAAAGTGTCTCTGTCGACAACACTTCAACATTAGCTTCACGTGTGCTTAGTTTTAGAATGGTGTGTGATTATCGTAGGCACAAGCATAAATACCATGATTTTACTGCCTGATTATACGACATTTCATCACCATTACAAAGAGCTATTCTTTGTTTTAGATAGTCGTGATGACAACTGCACATCGGCCAACATTTGAACCGGCACGTGGTGGGTCTGGCAGAAATGAGGGCGATCTTGCGAAGCTGTCGCAGCAGTATTCAAGCAAGGATATGCCATCGCATACGAAACTTAAATACCGTCAAAAGGGTCAAGGCCATGCAGAAGATATGAAGTCGCGGGTGAGGATTCATGGCTAGATAGGGGTCGAGATACTCGTATTATGCTCACATAAGTCATTTGGAATAGAGGAAGAGAATCGAAGCATATATTGTATAAAAATTAGGTCCATTTCAATTGAAATTTTAATCATATAATTTAAAGGGAAGCTACTGTTTGAACATAAGTAGGCTTTTTACATATTACTTGTTGTACTCTATACTTAGGTCTGATACTGTACAAAGTACTTTATTGATCCAGCAATTAAGTTTCAGATTATCTATTGTTTTGCAGGATTTGCGTCGCGAATTGGAGGAAAAAGAGAAAAATGTAGGACGTGAACGAAGAAGTCGGGAAAGTGGTTGGAATATGCAAAAAAAACCAAGATTGGAGGGGAGCTCAGCACCAAATGTTCAAGACGAGGATGACCCATATGATGACGATATCAATGACGTATGCGTATCATTTTTTACGATTTTCACATTAGTTTGTTATGTGACGGTTTACATTTGTGTTTTGTTTCATATTTAATTTGTTAGAAGAGATTCTGGTTTATCTAAGCAGTTCCTGATATCGTCATGTGATGCTAACTGTAGAATTCCGATGACGATGAAGATGACGCCGCGGAATTGATGGCCGAATTGGCTAGAATTAAGAAGGAACGAGCACTAGAAAAGGCTCAGCGTGATGCGGCATTAGCTGAAGAACAGGTAAAAAGCTGGGTGCTTTAGATTAATACCTATAACTAATTCGTACTTCTTTTAATCCTATTCTTATGCAAGTAGAGAGTAACTTGTGACGGTGAATGATATAGCAGTTCTTAACAAAAGAACAGACATGATTTTACGTCAAAAGATGAGCTACCACGAAAACAGCAAAGAAAGTTTGAGATTTGTTGGCTCGTCAGTACGACACCTGAATACGGATTCATGTTTTTCAGGAACGAATCAGAACCGAAAACATTCTACACGGAAATCCATTACTCAATTTTGAGGCATCAGATTTCAAAGTACGTTTGTCAACAGTGAGACGTAATATACTGCAAGTTATAATGATGATGTAGAAATAGGAATGACGCTTATAAAACGCATAGATCCTACTGTAGCAGTATACATTGTTACAAAAAAAGTTATGTGTATTATGACTACTAGCATCCTGCATCACGAGGACTTCTAGAACGATTCGATTATTTGGTATAGCTTTTCTCAATATTATACTTAACATTATGTGCGTTACCAGATTTTTGTATTATTTCTGCTTTTTTTCCCTTTTTTTGTATAAAGTAATTAAGGTGAAACGGCGGTGGGATGATGACGTAGTTTTCAAGAACTGTGCGAAAGGTATCGAAGAGCGTAAAAAGGAACAGGTTTTTATTAATGACGCTATTCGCTCTGAATTTCATAAGAAGTTTATGGAGAAATATATCAAATGATTAGTTGCTTGATCTCTCTTTCAAAGCTTCGAAACTTATTATGTTTGTTGTTGTAAATAAGGAGGGAAGGGTGAAATATGATGTTTTTCAATGAAATTAAAATTTTGTGACTGCGAAAATTGTGCATTTCTGAAGTATTGTGATTTTTTCTTCCTTTTGAGGAAGTGAGCCGAACTTTAATATTGCTGAAATTTCTTCTCAGACTTGATAATGGAATTCGGACTTGGTAATGTAGTGGAATTCTCGCTCAACAGATTAATTTCCATGTCTAATAGAATTTCTTAGCTTTTTTTTATAATACCTGATTTTTGAAAACGTTAACTTCCCTCGAAGTTTACGCCATTTCTTAATAGATAAATGCCCAACGTTTTGTTATTCCAAGTTGCAATTAATCTAGTGGCTCATTATATTCCTTTGTCGAATATCAGTACCGCAACTTTACAAATATTTCATTTGGTGGACTAATTATCTAATCATTCGGAGTAGTCACACTTTTCTACCACTTTACTGTCCACGTTTTCTTCCTCTTTCAATCCGAAGAAAAAAAATCAAATATATGAAAAATTTTTTTTCGGTTCATCGAATGTTCACTTTTGAACTCACTATCATTTTGAATTAGATTTTTTGGATATGCGATTCTGTTTTCTGCTGTACTTTTCCTGCTAATGTTTGGCGAATTTGTACCGAAATTAGGGTACTTATACAGAGCAAAAGTAGGCGTTTTGGCCCTACTGGATAATTAACTGATGTATTTCGGTTTGTCGTAGGAAATTGTATTTTCAGTTTGCATTTAGAAGGAAAAATGTGATCAGAAGGATAGGAATGTGGTCATTGTTGGCAGTTATTATATTACCGTTAAACTTTTGATTATTGATTTTCAGAGTTTTTTCCGTTAAGGGAATCGAATTCAGGAATGATGACGAAGTATGACATTCATTTGGAGCGGGGGGAGGAGGCGAAGAAACATTCTTAGAGAAACGTTGTGTAATTAAATGAGTTATTTTTTATTTCTGTGCAAGATTTCTTGCTCTAAGGAATGAACTCAAATTGTTGCTTTTGGAGCGAAGTGCAGATGGCTCCAATTAATTTTTTATCTATCTGTGAGGAGGGAATAAACATAGCTTCGTTCCAACACTTACTGTCTATTGATACCACATTAAATCTGAAATTATTCGATGCAATAAAATTTTTTCCAGCAAGATATCGTCTCTTCTGACCATCTGTAGTTTTAATGTGTTCGAAGTTACGATGAGATGCATTTGATAAGTTTCTTTTTCAGTGCCTTGAAGTAAAAGATTACAACTCAGATATTAAGACTCGACCATAACGTTTTGGGTTCATAGAACGAGCTTCCAGCCGAGTGATGCGGTAACCATTCACCGTCAATTTCCTTGATTCGGTGAAGATTCGAAGGAGTCCAAGGGTGGGACTGCAAGCAGCAAGGCTTTATTGATACATAAAACATAGCCTGAGGTTTCAGAAAGGAAATCTTTTGTAAGATTGCTATTTTATCACTGTACGATCGCAAGGGATAATAATAAGATTCTTATCGCAAACTAATCTCACTCAAATGATTACAGGATGCAGCCATCATTTGTTCCAGAGCAGCGTATTCTAACGATTCAAATTCTCCACTCATTTCTAACACTTTCCACCAATTCTGAGAGACGTGCAATTTATATAGTTTATAGTTGAGTCTCTTGTGATAGATCTTCGCGCTAGTTCTACTAACGTTTCCTCCAGAAAAATAGAAATGACTGTAATTTTCCGTCACTTCCCAAGTTATTCCAGCTAATTTTAAAAGCGGAATCCCCGTAAATAATTATAATCCTTCACCGTATCTCTCTCTTTAGCTTCGTTATACAAATTTTTTAGAAATTTATATTATGAAATGCTCATTTTTCTGCAATCATTCATCCAAAGGATATCACCGATTTATAATAAGTCAAAATGCAGCTTTCTTCCTCATTTTTTCGTATTATCCTCGGCAGTAGGTTCTCGAGAGAGACAAGATGATATTAGGGAAAGTAATCTTTTCTGTCTTATCTTACATGCGCATTTGCTGTGAACGCTGTTAATAGAGTTTCAGTGAAAGAATAATCGACGAGACTGTTTCACTTATGCGATAAAGCTATGCGTCATGTTTGCTACATTCGCACAAAATATCGGGAAAGATCGAGATTCCATATATAAAAAGTTTACTGATAGATTTAATGCAACATGTTCTTATGTTGGTCCCTAGCATCTTTGTCCCATTTTTCCTTCTTCAGATCGATTCATTTCTGCGCCCTAATACAGTTAATGTAAATTGTGTTAGCTATGGAATGAGGTAATTCGTTGTTTACGCCTTTTACGTCTCACACAGAGATGACTGGCCGACGAAATACGCAATAATTTTAAGGAATGTATAAGAGAAGAAAATGCTTCTATTTTACTAATCTTTAGGAAAATCCCAAATAGTATTTAAATGAATTGTGAGGAAGCTACCAACTTTTTCAGGAAGTACCGCTATTGACTGTTTTTTCAACTCGCTAATTTGTTGCTTTCTGACAATTTTAGATTGGAGTAGATGTACTTTTGGTGTATGAAACTATCAAATGGCGGATAATGAATTCGATAGCATCGGCTATCAGAGGCCATATGGTAGTTTGCAGGTTAGGTAGTGCATCCCGGAAGAGCTGGGGAAGTCTGAATTACCTGCGTCTAACCAAGAAGATAATGACCCAGTTTGAGAGCCCCTCAGACAGACCATTCATGGCCAGTGATGTATTAAACTTTGAGCAGGCCATCACTACCATGTGGAAATGATGCTCGAAACAAAAAGGATCACCATATCAAAAGTACCCTCTGGCTGCCAATCCAGTACTAGCATTGGTGCACTGTGCATTGATGAAGCTCATAATCATAGCTGATGGCTGCACGTGATCTTTTGTGAGTGGAAGTCATGAGTGAATGCAACGTGAAATAATCGATAAATGAGGAATTTGTGGTTTATTATAAGCAGGATATTAGCGAGGTGGACTTGGCTCTATCTTGTCGGAACATGTTCTCAAGAATGCCAATTTTTTCTCACATCTTTTCTATATACTTCACCAAAACTAAATTGTAAATTCTGTCAGTGCCTTCTTATCGTTCTTTAATTTAGTTATTTTTTTCAGCACTTTAAATGCCACGGGAGTTAGGCTCTGAAGCATTCAAAATGCACTAATTCCATGATTCATCCACCGCTTCAGGATTATCCACTTGATTTGCATAAGATGGAGCAGTAAGTAATGTTGGAGAAGTAAATGTAGTCGATAGAGGACCTTTACAATAAACCAAGCCCCTATGAGAAATTAGTTGCTAACAGATCGGTTGTTTATATGTACGAACTTATATGATAAATAGGTGTATAATAGTATTATTTTTATTATATGTGTCCTTATAAGTTTATTGAGTTTATTGACTGTCTAATTGTACGTTGTTCAGTGTAATTCATTGCCATAGAGTTAGCAATGTCCGTAATTAAGTAGCAAGCAAAAGTACATAACTAAGTGTCTAAAAAAGCCAAGAGCCATCTATGAATAAGCCAAGAGGCTAAGAATGTGCACAATTCTCATTTTCTTCACATCGATTTTTCCATCAAACGGAAATTGAAGATGCATTGAGAGACCTCTTGGAGCCTTTCCCGAACGCTGCCTTTATGTATCGTTCAATTTCTGTGAATTTAATGGCGTCAGGGAGTGACATCATTCGAGCTATGTGGCTGTTATTAAGTTCCGTGTCGCACATAGAGTAAATAAAAGAGCCAAGTGATGAAGAGAAGTACAATGCTTACTTAATATTTTAAGATGTCAACATATTTACAACATAACAGCTTAAGTAGAGCGTCAGTGGCGCAACTGAGTAGAATAGCGCAAGCAACATTGGTACTTTGTTGTGGGAGAAACATTCGGACAGGTATCTTTTAGAATCGTCTTTTGCGTGTTTCCACTACGAAAAGTGACCACAATAACAACTTCTCTCTTGTGTTTGATGATCACCGCTCCGTTCACCGATCCTTTTTATTACTTATCTTAAATTAGCTATTAGTGAGAAACTGCTCTGCTCAGTTATTTATATATTGGATTCACAAACCGAAAATGCTTGTGGCGTTTTATTGCATCTGTCTGTTTGCATAATTAATGATTTTGATCTGAGATCATGTGAGCAGGAGGATTTTTGTATGAAAAAGAAAGAAATTGTCATGCAGTTGCTATCAAAAACAGTGCAGAACCTAAAACGATTGATTCTACAAAACACCTTTCCGTCAAGGCCAGCATGACTGCAGCCTGTCTGTTGTCGTGGAAAAGCCAAACTGCCCTTAAACCATTAATGTTCTTATCATCTTTATTTTCATCA